AAATTGCTATTCTTTTAAAGTTTTTTCTTTAGCACTGAAGTACCACCATCGCGCTCTTTCTGCCCTTGTCTTGTTAACACGCACGCCATTTGAGCCCTCCGTCCTATTTCTCGCCAAGACTCGATCCGCCCAACCAGCGCTGTTCCACAGCGTAGAGTTCCCCCGAGTTCTACCGTGTCCGGGAGTTAAAGGCCGTCGAAAGACGTTTCTTCAATTCCCTGTGCACCGCGCTTCGCTATTATTTCTGTTCTCCACACCGCCTCATCTATTGATCTCCTGTCGCCCGTCTCTGCTCGCCGAGCAGGCCGACCGGACAGCAGCATGAGCCGTTTTTGCTTTACTCCGCAGCCGTGGAAGGCACTCGCCATCGGCGCTCTTCTCCTGTGCTGTGCTCTCGGCCCTCACCTGGCGACCGCCGCGGACGGCAGTACGGCGCCTGCACCCACGCCCGAGTCGGAAACGATGAAGTTCCTGCAGGCTCTCGTGAAGACGGTGCCAGATCTGGAGAACTATAAACAAGGGGACGACTATTGCGACGGTTGGGGTTTCGTGCAATGCAACGCCGACAACACGGTGGCGGTGGCGCTGACGGGATTGGCGCTGACGAAGCCGTCGAGCCTGCCGGATCTCCCCGACGATGTCGACGGCGCGAAGGTGGCGATGACGTCGTTCGCGGCGAAGGCCATGGGCGAACTCTTTCTCGGGACGCTGCCACCGAGCTGGGGACGGCTGACGCAGCTGCAGACCCTCTCGGTGGCGGGCAACAACATTGGGGGCACCCTGCCCGCGGAGTGGAAAGCACTGACTAACCTGACGAAGCTGGTGCTATGCATCAATCAGCTGTCGGGCACCCTGCCGACAGATTGGAAGGATCTGACGGCGCTGACAGAGCTGTGGCTGGAGGACAACCAGCTGTCGGGCACTCTCCCGACAGATTGGAAGGCTCTGACGGCGCTGACAGAGCTGTGGCTGGGCAGCAACCAACTGTCGGGCACTCTCCCGACGGATTGGAAGGATCTGACGGCGCTGAAGCTGCTGTGGCTGGGCGGCAACCAACTGTCGGGCACTCTCCCGACGGATTGGAAGGATCTGACGGCGCTGAAGCTGCTGTGGCTGGACGACAACCAACTGTCGGGCACTCTCCCGACGGATTGGAAGGCTCTGACGGCGCTGAAGCGGCTGTCGCTGGAGGTCAACCAACTGTCGGGCACTCTCCCGACAGATTGGAAGGATCTGACGGCGCTGGCAGGGCTGTGGCTGGACCACAACCAACTGTCGGGCACTCTCCCGACGGATTGGAAGGCTCTGACGGCGCTGACAGTGCTGTGGCTGGACGACAACCAACTGTCGGGCTCTCTACCCGCGGCGTGGAGCACGATGACGCAGATGAGGCGGATGCAACTTCAGAAAAACAATTTCTGCGGCTGCGTGCCAACGGCGTGGAAGGAGATGACAGAGGTGAGGCTGACCGTGGACGACAGCGTGAGCGGGGATACCTGTGCAACGACGAATGCCTGTCACATGACGTCCAGCAGCAGTTCCAACGAGTCCACGTGCGCTGTGGTAAATTGCGTGCTGTGTGCACCCGGCAGCATCACGGAATGCAGCTTGTGCGCCAGCGGCTACACCCTGACGGATGACTCTCAATGCGCCTCTTAGGCTGATGCGGCGCACTGGCAGAGCCTGGGCAGCCCAAATGGGCGGCTAATGCTGGCACTGCTGTGCACTTCTATGCTGTGGAACCTGATCTAGCCGGCGTTCTCGCTCTCCAGATTTCCACGAAGGACGATGTGAATAGACCGCCGAGATGTTCCTTTCTTTAGAATCCTTTTAGTACCTTTATTATTTCCTTAACTCGGTAATAGCTGCTTCTCC